AAACGTTGTGAACATGGCAATGAAGATGAGGATAACAGTCCGAATATTGTAAATAATGCAAGTAATCATAATACCTCTTCTCAGAGATATAGAGGCCGAAACGTGGTGAATATGACAATGAAGATAAGAATAACAGTCAGAATAATGTAAATAATGAAAGTACTCATAATACCTCATCTCAGAGATATAGAGACCGAAACGTTTTGAATATGGCAATGAAAATGAGAATAACTGTCCGAATAATGTAAATAATGCATGTACTCATAATACCTTATATCAGAGATAGGAAGGCCGAAACGTTGTGAATCTGGCAATGAAGATGAGGATAACAGTCAGAATAATGTAAATCAAAATACCTCATCTCAGAGATATAGACAGATATTAAATTATGCAGTATGAATAACGACGATTTTAAAAGTAGAGAATTTACTAGAAGACTTGAAAAGTGATTTTATACCTGCAAAGATGTTTTTTCTCTGCTGTTTTGGACCTTCTGACCTACTGCCCAATACTATAACCATATATTTTGAAACTGAAACGCATTTGAACACACTTAAACCTGTAATTTTTCCCGATCTACTCGGCTAAACCTTTCGTAAGGTTTCGGAATATCAGACTCTTTGATTACATTATTCTTTCTTTAAAACAGACCAGAATTCTTTAACAAGATGGGGAAAAATACGTTTCAAACAAAAGGTAGATTTTTAAAGTTAAAATCAGAAATTTGCAATTGAATGTCAACTTAAAAAAATCGCCTAAAGTTTTGTTGACGCAGCAATTATATTGGACTTTCAATAAATCGAGGTGAGTTTGTCCAATTAAGAAAGAATAGATGGGTGGAAAATGAAGTCAGCAATTCCAATTGACTAAGAAACTCTCAAACTTTTTCCTTTTTAAATTCCTACGACGAAGAACAAAATAACGACACGCAATAATAAAAGAATTCTTTCTATTCGTCATATTTTCCTTTCTGTTTGAATTCAGAGTGAAAATTATTCACAAGCCAAATTAAACTGAAAGAAAAGAATTGGGAAGCTTTTTTGGAAGCAACCGTATTTACGCCATCAACACTGGAAGAATCGAATTCATCTAAAAATGAAATTTGTTTTGCTGGTTGTAGAAAGTCTGGCAAAGAGACTTTTTTTTATTTTCCTGAAAAATATTGGAGCAGTTATATTCATGAGGTTGGCACTGTTTTCTATAACATATTGAGTGATTGCAGGAAATCTATACCGCGTAGCACTGATCAAGCATGTTTTACACTTTGTCATTAATTTAACTAATATATATATATATATATATATATATATAGATAATATATATAGATAACTCGACTCGTTTCGAAAAACCCTCGAATTTTTGATTTGCTAATCAAATCAATCTCGAGGGAAAAAAAGGTTTTAAAAAAAAGAAAGAGCTACAGACATGAACTTCTGCCGACAAAAAAAAATCGCACAGATGCAGGTCTGAAGCCCAAAGAAAAAAACCCGATACGAGTAACAACTAACTAACAAAAAGAGCTCAATACAACCGTAGAGCAGACCTAGATACACCTAGTGAGCCAGACAAACCTACCTAGGTTTCACCCTAAACGGATCGTCAGGGAAAGTTTGGCCAAACTTCCCCTGACGATCTGTTTAGGTGAAACCCTAGGTAGGTTTGTCTGGCTCACTAGGTGTATCTATCTATATATATATATATATATATATATATATATATATATATATATTATATATATATATATATTACATTATAAAATGGAATATTAGTGTTTGAACCTTTTTATATTATATTCTTACTCTGTCCTGGACATTGAGTGGACCAAATAGTGGGATTGGGAGGCATGCTTTCAATAAAAATTAAGAACAACAGGAGAAAGAATGGTGGCGAAAACAATTCCAAGTTCAGAAATTTTATCAAGCAAGACTAGTCGGCCACTAAATCATGAGAATACTGACGAGACACTTTCGCATCTAGCCAAAGACATTCGATTTTCCCCTTTTTCTGATTTTTCTTTCGAAACGGGACCATTTAAAACAAAAAAAAACAAAAAATTAGAAAAATAGAGAATTAAAGAAAATCGAAAAAAAGATTAAAGATTTCGGTAGAGCGAAATTATACTCATACAGGGCAGCGAGTGTTTGTCCGCTTTCTTCCTCATGATAACAAGTGAATGTACAGCTTACCTTAAGTCCAAGCATCGACCTGGGGGGAGGGTCAACAGCCAATCCACCGCCCTCACCAAATAGTTGGCTTGCGAGGCATATAGATATTGTTACATTAAGCTCTGAACCGTTTTATCTTAGGAATGATTAAAGATATCTTACTGGAATTCTCCGAGCTTTTTATAACACTATAGGACTCTACTTTGAATAATAACAATGTATTTAGCTGTAAGTTGAAATGATGATCCTTCTTGCTATTGTGGCCTCATGGTCCAAATTTCTCTCTACTACTGTATCTTTTAAACTTATTCACAGTTCTCTTTAATGGACTTTGAAGATGGAAGCCAGTGTATGAATGTTGGTACCATTACTAAACGCCTGAATGATCTTTTTCCAGTTTCAGTTTCATAATTACACACGCTCTATCTTATGGTCTTAAGGTGTGCTATATTTATGGGATAAAGTGCTCAATATCAGAGATAGAGCGTGTGTAAATATGAAACTGGCCTGACGATTGCGTCTAGCATGAAACAGACTGTCGCCTCTGTCGCCTCTAAGTGTTAACGTCTATGTTCACTTTTATATATATATATATATATATATATATATATATATATATATATATATAATTTAATTAAAATTTAAAAAAACAGACAAACTTAAGGGTCCATTGATTATATTTTACTTCCCCAAGAAGGTGTTTTCCTGGTTCCTCAGATCACATTTCCAAGCATAAAAATGGTTTTAAATTTACGTATTATTTTAGACGCTTTTGAGGGGTAGTTTTAAATTGATGTAAGGTGATAGAGAGAATGAGGGGGAGGAGGAGGACGACAGATGTGGTCGAAATTAGAGAAGGAAGGGAGAGATAGGAATAATTTTAATAGATTTAATTTTAATAGATTTAAAATTATTCCTACGTGTGGTTCGTTAAAGACACCGGAACAAGGAACGCAATATTCATGCTACTAATGTTATCAGAAAGAGCAATATAAATGCAGAAGAACGTGTACCTCTGTTTTATAGACTACGCAAAAGCGTTCCACAAAGTACACCACAAAGATCTGTTAGATCTGCTCAGTAATCTTGACATATTTAGGAAAGACATCAGAATAATCAAAAATCTCTACTGGCAGCAAACCGCCTGCATACGGATAAAAAAAAATGAGTTCCACAGATGTAAAATATTAGAAATGGGCGTAAGGCAAGGTTGTGTCTTCTTTCCGGACATTCAACCTATATCGCGTGGTAATTCTAAGAGAACTGGAAATCCTACCTGGATTCATCATTGTCAGCCACAACCTTAACAAAATAAGATATGCAGGTAACACAGTGCTGATAGCAGATACGAAAAAAAAACTACACAACCTCCGACAGAAGGTACCGAAGGAAAGCGAGAAGAAGGGACCTAGCATAAACAACAAGATGACAGAATGCATGGTCATCAGCAAAAGATGAGCCCAATATGCAATTTACAGGTCTGGGACACTAAAATCAAACAAGTAACTAATTTAAATATCTTGGAACTGTTCTAACAGAGGACGAAAAGTGCGGCACTGAGACTCGAAGATGTACTGGGATGGCCAAAGACGCCTTCCAAAAGCTAAGCAGAGTATTAAGAGACAAGAAAGTTTCTTTGGAAACAAAGAAAAGAGTATTGAACTGTACTTGATATCTGGCAGCGAATGCTAGACAATTTCCTCAAAGATGAAGAAGAGACTCGAAACAACAGAAATATGGTTCTACAGAAGGATGCTAAGGATACCATGGGCCGAACATATGATCAACGACGAGGTTTTGAAGAGAATAGAGATAGTGATCAGGAAGAGGCATCTGAAATTTCTGGGACACGTAATGAGGAAGGAAGGCCTGGAAAATCTGATACTCACAGGATAGAGAGCGGGAAAGTGGAAGAGTCGAAAACAACATACTTAATGTGCTTGAGCAAGTAGATGGCAGAACAGAGTCTGGAAGAAATAACAAAAAGGCAAAACTTATTAAGTGCTACAAGAGACAGGAAGAGGTGGAGGGCCATGATCGCCTAAGTCCTGAACGGACACGGCTCATAAAAGAAGAAGAAGGACGGGTTAAATTTAATTTGCAATTTCTCAAAAGATACATTCCGCTAAAAAAACTTATACTGTACAGAATAAATGACTTAAAATGGACATTTAAAACAGTAAGTTGATATAAAAATGTGTTCTTTAAAAAAAGATGGCATACAAGTCATTAGAGATTTTTAAAAGTTTTTTTTTTTATAAAATTAAAACAAGAAATACATTGTCTATTGAGTATGTCTCCAGCTTCGATCTGGTTCAGACCTACTCAGCCCGACTAGCCACGTTAATTTATTTCATTCTTTTTTTATTTACTTTCTTTGTTTGATTTTTTCTTTATTTCTTCTTTCTTCTTTATTATGAACAATATCATCGAAATGTATTTCGGTCAATATTTTGAGGCACGGAGTTTAAACAATTAATTTTGGATTGAACCGAAGTCAAGAATGAAAAGGGCGAACTACGAAATATATATATATATTTTTTTTTTTTTTTTTACGTTGAAATAGATATACTTGAATGTCTACTCACTCGGGGTAAGCCCAACCCCAGAGTCACCACTTATATATATATATATAATCTCATTTTCTAACATTTCTTGGACAGACTTGTCAATGGAATTATCTGTATCGATTTATATCTGCTCAAGTCATTGTCGCTCTTTGCTTAAACATGGGGGAAATCTTTGATTAACCTAAGGGAAGATCGTCGACTGTACTTGTCATGGAGAATGGAACTCAAATCTGAATATGTTAACTTAATTGATATTTCTGTCGTCATGCTTTCCAATCTGCTTCAGGTGTTTGTCGGAGTAGATTGTTCTCGTTCCACTGTCCATGTCTCGAGATATCTCGTCTTGTTCATATTTACTAATGCTGTTTCCGTTTAATCGAGATCTGTACTACCCGGACCAAGGATTGAACTCGTAATTACTATGTCACCAAATTCACGAACCAACGTTTTATTTTTTGTTGCTGTTGTCGTTGTTGTTGTTGCCGTTGTTGTCGTTGTTGTTGTTCTTGTTCTTCTTCTTCTTCTTCTTCTTCTTCTGTTCTTCTTCTTCTTCATCTTGCTGTTGTCGTTATCATTGTTGTTGTTGTTCTTCTCCTCCCCCTCCTCCTTGTTGTTGCTGTTGTTTTTCTTCTTCTACTCCTTGTTGTTGTTGTTGTCGTTGTTCTTCTTCTTCTTTTTCTCCTCCTCCTCCTCCTACTCCTTGTTGTTGCTGTGTTGTTGTTGTTCTTCTTCTTCTTCTTGTCGTTGTTGCTGTTGTTATTTTTCTCCTACTACTACTCCTTGTTGTTGCTGTTCTTCTTCTTCTTCTTCTACTACTTGTTGTTGTTGTCATTGTTGTTTTTGTTGTCATTGTTGTTTTTGTTGTCATTGTTGTTGTTCTTCTTCTTCTTCTTCTTCTTCTCCTTGTTGTTGTTGCTGTTCTTCTTCTTCTTCTTCTTCTTCTTCTTCTTCTTTTACTCCTTGTTGTTGTTTTCGTTGTCGTTCTTCTTCTTTTTCTTCTTCTTCTTCTTCTTCTTCTTCTTCTTCTTCTTTTTAGTACATCTCAGTTATTAATATCCCTGTTTTGTCGTGAATTTGATGGTATAGTAATTGTCAGTTCAATCTCCGGGGTGGGTAAAACAGATTTAGAATCAGTAGAAACATGGCGAACAATAACAGAACATTACAAGGAAGCTTATACTTAACATCAGGAAGAGACAGTTGAAATTTCTAGGAGAGAGCCATTGGAAAATCTGATACAAACGAGACAGATTGAAGGTAAGAGGGACAGAGTAAAACAAAGCATAACTTAGTGAGATTGAGTAAATGGATGACGGAACAAGGTTTAGGAGAAATAACAAAAGGACATAATTTATTAAGAGCTACAAAGGACAGGAAATTGTGGAGATCCATGATCGCCTACGTCCCGAGGAGACATGTACATAACGGAGAGACATATAGGGTTGACCCATTTTAATATCTTTTCTATTTACATTATTTCCACTCAGACTATTGTCTTCATATTTGTTATTATGACCACAACGTTTCAGTAACATCTTCCGGCCTTCCTCAGGTGCTGTTGTTTCGAGTATTCTTCAGAAAATAGTCTTTGATTGTTCTTCTGATGACCATGTCTAGGGATATATCGTTTAGTTCGTATTTAATAATGCTCAGTTATTGCTTGCTCTGCTTCCACCAGAGATTGAAATCACAATTACTATGTCACCAAATTCACGAAATAATGTTTTAATTCGCTAAGCTGTGACCCCGTGGAACTCTTCTTCTTCTTCTTCTTCTTCTTCTTCTTCTTCTTCTTCTTCTTCTTCTTCTTCTTCTTCTTCTTCTCCGCCTCTCTTCTTCTTCTCCTCCTCCTCCTTTTTAGTACTGTTTTGAGGAGCATGCTGATGTTCCCAGATCCACCCTGACCCTGAGTAGTAGCACCTGTTAGGGTCCCAGCTATGGGCAAATAGTTAACCCGGAAACTGAGGTATAAAGCATTATAAAAGTGTAAAAATAGCTTTTAATACCAGAAATACTTTATAAAAAATTATTACCAGAAATAATTTTTTGAAGAAGAAAAAATATTACAAGCAATACGTTTTTGAAAAAAAAATATTACCAGCAATACATTTTTTTAAATTATATTACCAGCTATACATTTTTGAGGAAAAAAAAATATTACCAGAAATAGATTTTTGACAAAACTAAAATATTTACCAGGAACAAAAATGTAGTTGGCATTAAATGACCCATTGAGGTTGATGTGCCGTAAACCAAACCAAACCAAACACAGTTTTATCGTGAATTTGGTGGTATAGTAATTGACAGTTCAATCCCTGGGGTGGGTAATACAAAGTTAGAATCAGAAGAAATGTGGCAGACAATAACAGAACACTACAAGGAAAGTTATACTTAACATCAGGAAGAGGCAGTTGAAATGTCTGGAGAATGTAATGAGAAAGGAGGGTAATTTAAGATAAAAAGGAATATATGAAATCATTGCGTAAGATCTTTCTTGGGTTTGATTAAATGGATGATAGAATAGGGTTTGGGAAAAATAACAAAAAGTCAAAACTTATTAAGCTCTACAAGGGAAAAGAAGACGTGGAGATCCATGATCGCCTACGTCCTGAAGGAACACGGAATATAAAAGAAGAAGAAGAAAAATAAAAAAAAACAAGTGATGTCCTTTAACGCCGACACTCGAGAACAATTTAACCCCGTGGTTTAAATAGAGTGTCCAGTTCGAAATTCTCTGGAAACTACACTGAAGAAAATCGGAGAGCTCTAACGCCGAAACGTTGTGATAGCCATAAAAATGAGGACATTAGTCGGAATTTAAATAATGATTCATCCCAGAAATTCAGACAGGAATTCTTCGTTAATTTGACGTAGCTGTGATTTTGGTCTCATGGGGTGGGGCGCATTCATTGAGTCTATTTAAATACATTGACACATTAATTAAGCAAACTCCCGAACGTGTAGTTAAATACGCTATGTCTATGGACTCGATTAATAATAGGCTTCACGACTAATTTCTTAATTTCATTTTAATTTTATAGTAAGGAGGAAGGAGAAACATGTTATCTAATGTAATTTAAAAAAGGTGCCAATGGTTAACGGTGCGGAAAGGGAAATCAGAGAACCGAGTTCGAGTTCAATCCTAGGTCTTTATATTCATTTTCACACCCTTGTGAAAAGCAGGAATCAATTTCATCTCCCGATGCCTACTACGCGTTAAGTAATAAAGTAGACTTAGCATTCTATCCTTAGATGACAACCAGTCTAGGAGAAAGAAAATTCCATGAAATGCCATGAAAGAGGCAACGGGAAACCACTCCACCCAGTTCCCCAAAACGTCCTGACAATTCATATTAAAGAAACGGGATTTATAAAGAGCTATCTTTACCTACGTCCTGAAGGGTCATGGCATTACAAATATTACATTTGAATCCAACTACAAATAAAAGTATTAAAAAAAATGTCGAGAACATGTTTGTTTTTTGTTTGTTTTTGTTTTTTTATTCGTTTTGCTTTTTGTATATTGACAGCTGCCCGTAAAATTGAGATTTTTCGATTTTAATTGGATATTTTAAAAATTACACCGGTCCACATTTTTTGAAAATCAAGTACATTTTTTTCCTATCGCATCACGTTTTCTGACTACAGATAATTTCTATTTTGCTTAAAATAGGCCACAATACCCATGTAACAGTGACATGCCAAGGCCAAGTACAACCTTCCTTGAACGTTTTCAGAGTAGAATAACTTACCATAAACGAAAAACTATCCCAATAAATTAAAGAATGCATTTTCAGCATTTTCAGTTCAGAAAAAAATTTCAAAAAATCTCAAGCAAAATTAAATTAAGACAAACATGTGTCATCAATTTTTGAATCAAAACAAAGAAGATATAAAGGAATGAAAAATACATTCATTTTTGTCCATCCAAATGTATAAATCTTCTCTTCTTGGAAAGTCTAGAGTGCTTTTGAAAAGGTTGATCTCTTTTGATGCACCAACAGAAATCAGCCATCATGTTAACATCCCATCTGCAAATTGCCTAGTTGACTATGCCTGTCTGTTGTTTAGCGGCTATTTTAAGCACTGATAAAGAAAATTCTAATTTTGATAGTCTCAAATCCACTCGCCTAACACCCTAACAACCGTCATTTATCGATGTTCCTATGCATGTTATCCAGAGACTACATCACAATACCAGACCTCCGTAAATTCAAGTGATATGATAAAATCTTATGATGGTTTCAGGCTTAAGGTGAAAACTACTAATAAAAACTAAAATCGCTTTTCTTGAATGACTTCGAAATAGCTTATTTTATGAAAAGTAGAAAAGAAACACAAATCACAAAGTTTTAAGTTAAGAACATTGAGGGCACAAGAACATTTTCCAGTGAGATATCTCTCATAAAATCAAGCATTTTCAGGTCAGCTTATCTGAATTGAAATAGCTTAGAATTCATTTTAAAAGTTATTTAGATACATTTTCTTGAATGATAAATCATTTTAACATAAAACGAAATGTTTCAACTATGAAATGTTTTCAACTACGCATATTTAAGCCGTGTCATATCCCTGTGAATTAGGCATTTTGGCCTATTTTAAGCAAAATAGAAATTATCTGTAATGTGATGGGATAAAACGGACTTTTCAGATTCAGCATGAAAAACTAGCCCAGAAACATATGCCCTTTGTCCAACAATATTTGGGTCGGAAAAATGTCGACCGGTCTTATCAAGGATAATCAGTTTTAATGTCAATATAATGTCAATTCTAAAGTTGTATACCTTGTCGTATCGAGCAGAAAATATGGTGTTGCATTCAAATTCCCAATCAGTTATCCTTGGTGGAACATCGTCTTTTCTTGTTTTTGTATTGTTTTCTTTTATATCTCTTCCGACATTCGATTCATCTTTTTACTCCCTTTTTCCCCCGTGTACAACTGTGACATTTTCATTGTCTCTTCCGACAGCTGATCTACCTAAAGGTCGATAGTAACGTTCCAAGCTGATCATACAAAAAGCTAAACAGTCCTTGCATACCATATCTATAGCGCTACCAATTCGAATCCTGTCTAGTAAACGTAAATTCTATGATATTCAGGTTATAATAAAGTTTGTTTTTTATTTAACTCGGGGTATAGTTTATTATTTGCAATTATATCCATATTATTAAATGGGGAATTTGAAGTGTGTTATATATGCGGATGAATTCATCTTCATTTATTTATGATTAAAACAAAATTACGACATTATAATCTTTCTCTTCGTGCTTTGTGTCAAAAGGTTAACATACAATAAATATTATTTTTATTGACAATATTGGTTTCATTTTTTTGGCTTTTTATTCTTAGACTTTTAATAATCAGCCTATTAAATCTATTTATAAAGATAGGCACACATATAGATATATATTTCTATAATTCTAATTTGAATATAATGACATAAAATCGTTCTTTGCAACATATTAAAATTATGTAAAGAAAATGAGATGTTTTAAAGTTTTTACTTGTGTATATATCACTATTCTATCTTTTAAATTGTTCGCCTAAAGGTGCATTAAATCTTCTGTGCATATGAATATATTATGAAATAAATATGAATACATTATGAATATACTATATTTCACAAATAATAAATCAACATTAACACATTAATTCTAGGACGTAAAATCCGTTATTAATTATAAAAAAATAAATAATAATCCAGTATTAATTATGAAAATAAAAATAAAACAGTTATTAATTATAAAAAATAAATAAAAAATCCGTTATTAATTATAAAAATGAAATAAAAAAATTAGTATTAATTAAGAAAATAAAAACAAAACCGTTATTAATTATAAAAAAATTAATATAAAATCCGTTATTAAATATAAAATGACATCAATACCACTATCAATTATGAAAATAAAAAAAGGTTATTAATTATAAAAAAATAAATATAACATCCGTTATTAATTATAAAAATGAAATAAAAATCTAGCATTAATTATGAAAATAAAAAGCAAAACCATTATTAATTATAAAAAATAAATATAAAATCCGTTAATTATTAAAATGAAATAAAAATAAGTATTAATTATGAAAATAAAAAACAAAAACGTTATTAATTATAAGAAATTAATATAAAATCTGTTATTAATTATCAAAATGAAATAAAAATCCAATATTATGAAAATAAAAGCAAAACCGTTATTAATTATAAAAATGAATATAATATTCGTTATTAATTATAAAAATGAAATAAAAAATCAGTGTTATGAAAATAAAACAAAACCGTTATTAATTATAAAAAATAAATATAAATCTGTTATCAAATATAAAAATGAAATAAAAACCAGTATTAATTCAGAAAATAAAAAAACCGTTATTAATTATAAAAATTAATATAAAATCTGTAAGTAATGATAAAAATGAAATACAACCCAGTATTAATTATGAAAATAATAACAAAACTGTTATTAATTATGAAAATAATTATAAAATATGTTATTAATTATCAAAATGAAATAAAAATCCATTATTGATTATGTAAATAAAAGCAAAAACATTATTAATTATAAAAAATAAATATAAAATCCGTTATTAATTATAAAAATGAAATAAAAACCAGTATTAATTATGAAAATAAAAACCAATCCGTTATTAATTTTGAAAAATAAATATAAAATCCGTTATTAATTGCAAAAATGAAATTGGTATTAATTATGCATAATACCGAATTTTATTTTACAATTATAAAACAATTTTAAAAATTAAAATAAAAATCAGGTACGAAATGTAAAGATTAAAATAAAACTCCAGTATTTATTATGAAAATTGATATAAAAATCCAGTATTATTAAAATTAAAATAAACATCCGGTAT